AGGACGTACCCCCATTACAAGTCGAGAAGCATCTGTACCACACATCAAACATATCAGTGACTAGCATACTCGCCTTTCTCAGCAGTGAAACCATCCCCTACCCCAAATAAGATGTTACAGGGCACATTTATAGAGTAGTTAAAAACAAACTGCTAAAAATATAGATGGTGGATGTGGGGGGCTGGGGTAGCCAGATTTCTTTTTCTTCATATAAAGGCTTCTGAGAAGAAATGATAACTGAGCTGAATCTTGAAATGCCAGGTAAAGTAGGTATTCCAAGCAAAAGGACTTACATACGCAAAAAAATTCTTTTGACAGTACAATGATAGAAATTCCTTAAGCTTCTATCTAGAAAATCAACCACAAATTCCTTTATATTTCAAGTATTCTAACAAGAAGTCAAAATTAATTCCAATGTCTAGATCGGTGACCCTGTCCTTCTGGACTGTAACAGAAGCCTCTTCACTGAAAATCCTCTGACAAGCATCATAATCCCAGACACTCAAACTAGTCATGAACCCATCTCCATCTCTACATCTCACCAGACATGTCTTTTAGTCCCACTTTTCAGACTTGTGACTTACCGTAGCTTTCTTTCTAGTGGTATAAATTGGGTTCTCACAATATGCCTGCTTGCTCTTCTGAAGGTAGCGCTTCCAAAAATTATGTAAAACTTCATTCTAATGTGGAAGGGAAATGGGTGGTGATTCAGGTTATGATGACAAACAAATGGGCACATCCGTCCTGCAGATTTTGTACTTTATATATTAATTTCCAAAGGATGTCTTACGCAGTATTCACGATTAGAGAACAAAATCATCTGGTGTGTTTCTGTAGCATCTATCAGGACGTCAGTTCCACAAGATGCACTTTGGGGAGTGACATGTTAAACCAGTGTTTCTGAAACTTGAGTGTGCATCAGAATCACATGGAGGGCTTGTTAAAACAAGTTTTCCATCTAAATGTATTCTTACCTGCTTTTCCTTAAAAAGAATTATCACAGTATCAGATATATTGAAAATACTGAAAAAAATCCTTCTTAATCTTAGAGAAGGAAAGGACGTTAAAGATCACCTAGTTGAATCCTTGCCTTTAGTATATTAAATAAATTAAGGATCAAAGAAAGAAAGCAACTTATACATGACTACACTTCCAGTTAGCAGCAAAGCTGCCAGCAGGTCTATCGACCAGTCCCAAGGGGAAGTAAAACTAAACAAAAAAACTTTTCCATTTATTCATCACCTACTAGGCACCAGCCATCCCTCACCTCTAACATAATACAGTAAGATAGCTATTATCTCTATTTTGCCACTGAAGAAACTGAGTTAACTTGGCCAAGATTACCCAGCCAATAAATAGAAAAGCCATGAATAGAATTTGGAGTCAGTTCTGATTCCTGAGCCTGTGTTCTTATTCCCATCAGCTAATTTCAGAAAAACTGTTTTCAGAATTAATCCCTAATGAAATGGATAGACAGCTATGTATAAAGAAACCCTTCTATAGCTATTCAGCATAATTTTATAAAACTATTTATAAACATTTATACACAGGATGACTATGCAGTGATAGACTAGATCATAAACCACCACTATCAGCATCTTACCTAATGCAGTAACTGTCACAGGTTAAGTCTGTGGTGTTTCATGTTTTTGAACGTTTAATTCCTTTTTTTTTAAAAGACGGGTCTTCCTATATCGTCCAGGCTGGTCTGAAACTCCTAGCCTCAATCAATCCTCCTGCCTCAGCCTCCTAGAGTAGGTGGGGCTAGAGGCATGAGCTACCGCTCCTGGCTCTGAATTTTTAGTTCCTATAATGCTTTTAAGGATAGGGCCAGAGTCCATTTTAGACCACGCATTGCTCTAGACGTCATTCTCTTTTGGCTTGCCCCCATACACTGGTTTGAACAGCAGATGCTCCTCTACAAAATTTCCTTGGTGACTTCAGCCCACATTGATCCTTCTCTTTTTGCCTTTAATATCACTTATGAGTATATATTGTTATATAAATTTCATGTCTACTCATTTCACAAATGCATAAATCCCCCTCCCCAACTAGGCTGGATCTCTCAGAACTTGGTTTCCAATGAAGAGCACGAAGCAAGGATACAATAACAACTTGTTGTTAAATAACTAGCTGTTAAAAGAATTCCTGAAAATGGCTTTTACTAGATGAGGGAATACGAAATTCAAAAAACTGCAGGAACACTATGGTACTCCAGGAAGGCAGCAAAGTCAAAGTGTGGTCCCTGGACTAGAAGCATCAGCGTCTCACGGAACTTGTTAGAAATGCAAATTCTTGGGCCCTAATCCAGACCTACTGACTCAGAAGCTCTGGGAAGAGGGTCCAGCAATTGGTATTTCAACAAGCCCTCCAGGTGACTGTGATGAATACTCCAGTGAACCACTGGTTTACCATATGACTGCTCAAAGTGCACTCAGTAGAACTCGAGTCCTGACAGACACTATATATACACACCAAAGGAATTTGTTCTCAAATTGTGAACACTACACAGACATCCCCTGGAAATTAAACAAGCACATTAACATAGACATACAAATAAGCCCACAAAGTTATTTGTTTTACTTTGTTTAACCTGGTGTTTCCTAAGTATAATATCTGAAGACTAAAATCTTTTAAATTTTCTTGTGCATGTATTGCTTATTTACATTCTGTAAAACACACTTTAGGAACTGCAGGTCTAGTAAAAGGATTAAAGCAAAAACATCAGAAAAATAATTCTTCCAATAGGCCTAGCGTTATTATTGATTTCTCCCTAGTTCCACTCCACATCTTACTTTTCTTCAAAAAACAAAATGTAAAGCTAACATCTAGTCCCAAATGGACTTACCTTTAACTCTGGGCCTACTCCAAGGCTCTTTAAGGCTTCTGCTTGTTGATAAAGTATGTACTGAAAACCTTCACACACATACCAATCCCAGCCTTTTTCTAAATGACAAATAACACGTTTTAGACATTTTTATTCCTAATTTACCGCAATTCCACTACACAGTTACAGTTTGTGTTTTACACATTACAACTTGAATTTTTTGTATCCCTGAATAGAGTTTCTATTCTTACATTCTCTTATTTCCAATCTGGCAAATTTTTATACAAATGCTAAAACTAAACATTTTATATAATTTATCAGAGTTCAAATGTTCTGAAATATTAACCTAAAAGGAAGAAAAATGAATAGCCAACATATCTAAGAAAGTGAAGTAAGTTTTAAAAATGTATATTTTACTGAACAATGACCAGTAGAATCCTAAGTGGAAGTACTCAGTCACTGCTTTCACTTTTCTGTTCCAACTTACAAGGTAAGGATGACTATCTGGTGAATCAAAGAACCAATGTCAAGATCTGACGGTCCAGAAGTGCAGGAAAGAACAATAAGAATATTTGAAGAAAACAAACTGTTCAATGGCATTCTGCTTTTCTAGAAATGGTTCTAGAATGGGAGAAACTGAAAGCAAGGAAACTAACACTGATCTCAGCCTAGGTACCAAGTATGTGCTAGGTATTTTAAGTAGGTTATTTTAGTGAATTCTCAAAACCACCCTAAGAGATTGTGAAGAAATCTGCCACCATAATAGACAGAGCTACATGTTTAACTATACTCACGAGCTGAAGGAAAGGTAAAGTCCTTCAGGACCTTTATGTTTTACCCCTCACTGCTGGACAAATACTGTAATTCTTTGAAAAGTATGTTATCAGCACTTTTTACACATGGCTTCTGAAATCTGGTATTGACTCCAAGATCTCTTCTCCCCTGCAGAACGTCAGAGGATTCCAACTCTTCTCCCTTACCTGAATGTCACAAGGTCTCCCCAGCCCCGCTCACCAATCCAATCCCCTCCCAGGAAGGGTCTCAGGTTGTATGAGTAAAATGGAAGGCCTGTAATTTTGATGTATCCAGAAGTTGAGGAAGTTTAAACTCTTTAACCTATATACATATGTTCTCTCTTCTTCATGCACAGTGTTCTTAGAAACGGATAAAGTTGTATTTTAAATTATGAGTCTGTGTTCCTATTTTACATAACAGATGGTATTACCATCCTCACTTTACAGATGAAGAAAGGATGACTATAAGACACTTAACACCTAATATAAAGCACCTGAAGTTCCTTAAGCAATTTACGTTTAAACTACATATTTTAACTATTTAAATAGGTTAAGTCAGAATTAATTGGGGTTAACTCTGATAAAATTTAGTGAAAATTAATCAGGTCTTAGCCCAATAAAAATAGTTACTATTAAAGGTTAAATAGGAATGTGAGTTAGCATTTAGGCATTCTATTATTCATCTAAGAACATCAATGTATTTCATATAAATATTTCATTAATATACATATATTTCACGTGTGTGTGTGTCCTCAAAGTTACCTCATGTAGAAGAGTCTACCATTATCATTAGCCTGGTTTCAAATTTGAGAATCTGATTCTAGGTAGTTAGTCATAAAAATAGAAAGCATCAGTTAGACTTTACTCCAGATTCTTCTCAATAATGATTAATTATATGTACTCATTGGATTAATGAACTATATTACCTTTCAAAGCATATCCATGCTGAAGCTATTTTTAGAGAAAATAATTTTCCCTATTTTAAAGTGTATATTGAAAATTCAACGTGAGAAATGGATTTCTGAAAGTTTAATCTCCTGTTTAAGTCACCTAACCAGAAGATCCCTCCGCTGAATTATTTCATAAAATAAGCATTTTTCTTCAAAAGCACAGAAAATCATATTCATAATGAACAATAGATATAGAAAAGCACATATGCTCCCTTTGCTATTAATACTATTTTATGCACAATAGTTGCTCCACTGGAAAAGCAACTCATTGACAATAAGCGGGATAATAAAAGGATATGCTTCAAGACATTTGCTTCCCATTTTACCATCAATAGTTTCCCATTTTAATTTCATTTTGGATTACCAGCTTTAAAATCTGAAATTTTCTCTAGAATCTATTTAAAATTTCATTCCATGTCCCCACATCATGAAGGTGAAAGATGTGAATAAAGAACATTAAGCGCATATAAAGAAAGAGCTCACCAAGCTTTTTTTTCCTTTTAAGCCCCCGGTTGATGGCTTTTATCTTGGTATTAGGAATATCCTCAGTGTTTATAACTTCCTTAGATCTCTGCAGGAAACAAAAAACAAACCGTTACAAAGATAGTTTTATATCTCCCTAAGTATATTTCCAAGTATGCTCTGGGAAATAAAATGAATCAAATTGTGAGTGCCAGGGCCAGTGATGGTAACATCTTGGAGAAATTATAAAAACTGTAACATTCTGATTAATCTTTATGTTTTTTTTCATTCAAAATTTCTCAGTACCTAAAACAGTGTCTGCAACGCAGTAACCACCATCTGTTAAATGAATAAACTTTTATATCTTGGTATTAATACAATTTATGTATTTATCATAACTGGCAATATCTAACCTAATACAGATTAGTTTCATCCTACTTCAAAAACACTCTAAAACTGCTTCCATTTCTGAAATTATAAAAGTACTACTTTTTATTTTCAACCAAACTACAGAATTTTAGAATGACTAAGTGGTTACCACAATTCATAACAAAATCTTCAATCCCAGTTGCTCTCGAGGGCAGGTACCTAAGATTCTGGCTCTCTCACAACCAAAAAGAAAAGTATTGAGTCTTATTGCCAGAAGAAAGGTAAAGATTTTTAACCAACAGAGGACATTAACATATTTTTCTAAATGTAGAGATTTGAATGAAGTTTACCTTTAATTCTCAATAAGAATAAAAAGGACATGTCTCTAACAATAGGATTTTTGGAATGCAGACTCTCTAGTCATAGAAACCATATTCAAAGCAATTCTGGTATATTGGGTTGGCCACACAGAGAACATAAGACATGTCAGAGTAAATACCAAAACAGTTACCCATTTTTGAAGAGGAGCTTTAAAAAAAAACAAAACTAAACAAAAAAAACACATAAAAACCAGTTATCCAGCAAAGACAAGCAAAGCTTACAAAGAGTAGCCAAGAAAAAAAGACTTAAAATCTGGACTAGATAAAATGTGAAACAGCAAAAAACCTGAAAAAAACTAAACATCCAAAACAAAGCTATAATTAATAAATTACTGAGTGGCTATATTATGGAATATTTACACAGTCAATAAAAATTCTACAAATGTTTAGAAAAAGTATTTTCCACATTGTTAAGATAGAAGATTCAACGGTACTCACACACATTCCTTTTTTCCTCTCATACTTAGGAAAAAAGAGACTGAAATGTGTGTTGAGATTATTTGTGACTTTTAGCTTTCATCTTCACAGTTTCCAAATTTTCTACAGTAAACACGATTGCTCTTATAATCATAAAAACTGAAAGGGGCGGCCTTGCAAAAATAACAGGAAAATACCTAATCCCACAATTTTCCCAGTAATGGTTAAAGATCAGTCAGGCACCCTGCAGGAGTTCTGTTTTGCACAACTTCTGAAGAAAGCTGAATGGATGGAAAAGACATGTAAATCTCCCTTTCAAAATTGTTTTCTGAAAATCTGCTTTCACAGAGTTCCTGAGTAAACAGCAGAAGAAGGAGCTATAGCTTCAACTATATCTCAAGGGCAGGGTCACACCTCCTGTGACAATCCTTTCTCCAAGGAAGGCAGGAAACCAAGTCTTGGACTTTGACATCCTTGCAGTTTTTGTTATCTACCTGCTGCTGCTTTTGTTATCAACTGACAGCCGTCACTATTTTTTTCTCTTCATCCCCATAAAATCAGCAAGCCACTTGGCGTTGCTGCTGGCATCCCCTTCTCTTTCTCTGGGATGCCATGCCGTCTCCCTGCTCTCTTTTCCCCCTTTCCCCTCTTTCTTTCTTTCTCTCTCTCTCTCTCTCTCTCTCTCTCTCTCTCTGTCCTTCTAATGGATAAAATAAACTTTTAAACTTTTGTATCTTAATTTCTGTGTGAGAAATCTTTCTCCACTCGTGCCATGAGCATCTCTAGGCTTTCCATCCTAACAAAAACCTACACCTTTTTATTACAAATGCCCATGAAACACTTGCAAAAATATCTATTGTCTAAATTGGATAGATTTAAGGCCTTAAATTTTTTTTTCTGGATAAAATATACCAGGATAACACTCTGGTTCCTTTCCCAATTCAGAAGGTCTTTCCCCAGATTGCAGAGTATCTAGAGCTTGAAGAATTTTATACAAAGTAAGCTCGAGGGCAATAAAAGGGGCAGAAAAATAGGTCAAATTGTACCATGACTTCCATTCTTCATAGGTGTAATTACGGTCTCACCGGCCATTCCCCACCCACTGGATTTCACGCCACCACACTAAACATAGCCAGGTAACACCAACCACATCACATTCTATGTGAAGAACATGTCTGGATCGCCACAAAGCCAAGAGTTACCATCGAAGTCATACAACATACAACTTTGCATATAGTATGGAAGGAAGGCACTGAGCTAGGTACTTGGCCTTTATAAAGATGTTGCCTGGCTGGGCACGGTGGCTCACACCTGTAATCCTAGCACTCTGGGAGGCCGAGGCGGGAGGACCGCTCAAGGTCAGGAGTTCTAGACCAGCCTGAGCAAGAGTGAGACCCCGTCTCTACTAAAAATAGAAACAAATTATCTGGACAATTAAAAACACATATAGAAAAAATTAGCCGGGCATGGTTGTGCATGCTTATAGTTTCAGCTACTCGGGAGGCTGAGGCAGAAGGATTGTTTGAGCCCAGGAGTTTGAGGTTGCTGTGAGCTAGGCTGATGCCACGGCACCCTAGCCCGGGCAACAGAGCCAGACTCTGTCTTAAAAAAAAAAAAAAAAAAGATGTTACCCACTTTCAAGAACTCTACATTCTTGACAAGTTATAATACTCAATGCAATTTACAGTCTTTCAAATGAGAAGCTAGGTAGTGGTATTTGAATCTCTCAAGCTAAAAAATGACTGCAACAGACTTAATCAAACAGGACCAAATAGAAATATTATCAAAAACAGAAATCAAACAAGCCATTAATTAGTTAAATGTAGTTCAATTCCTACAAAATTCATATGCTGACTTCATCTGCTAATGGCAAATAGTGCATTACACACAATCTTTCTTCACTGTGTTTAATCTGCACTGTGGTGCAAAAGCAACGATGAGTAAATTCACTAGTTCCTTAACACACATCAAGGCAGAGGACCAAACTGCACATATGTCAAGTGTAAATGTGACATACATCTCTCCATGAAACCATTGCCATAATCAAGATGAAGAATATCTCTATCACCCCAAAAATTTCATCAAGTGAGTATGTATCTTTTTAATATTCTGTGTGACTAAATGGGAAGTAGATACAAGCATTCCAGCTGTAGGCTGAAGAACATTGACTGTCTCAAGGGAAAGCACTTTTGTAACTGACTTGCAGGCTAAATTAACCAGTATTCTCAAGGGGAATTTTTTTTTTAACTTGTTTCCTATGTTTTGTCCAGGTTTTTTTAATTGTTTCAGGTAGGAAGGTAAATCTGGTCCCTGTTACTCCATGTTGGCCAGTAGCAGAAGTCTACACAGTTACCTTCACCTATCCCAAATTTGCCTTTCTTAAGCCTATATGGTAAAGGTAATGTTTGTTCCTTCCTGGCTCTGTAGACTTTGAGCATATCCTTTCCACAGAGACGACTCGTGGCATGTTTAGCCTATCCAGTAGCAGACTGCCCATGTCTTTGACTATTTTGGTTATATTCACTGGCAGGTGTGGTCACCACAACAGGACCTAGCACTTTCAGTGTGAAGGTAGTCTCATTTACCAAGGTTACACAGGATAGTATGACAATTTCTATATTTTAAGAGGGAAGTGTGATGGGTAAAATGAACACTGGAGTCAGAAGACTCAGGTTCAAGTCCTGGCTCAACACTTTATGCTTGTGTGACTTTGGCAAACTCACTCAACTCATGAACCCTACTTGTCCTGTCTATAAATAGGTATACTAGTATATCTCAAAGGTAGTGATGAGAAGGAAATGAAATCATGGATAAGAAAATACTTTGTAATCTGTAAGATATTATACAAAGATAAAATAATAGAGCATATTTCCAATACTCCCAATAGTCCTCAAGCTTTCTAACATTCCATCTTTCAAACCTCTAAGCTACCACAACATATTAAAAACTCTTAAATAAATAAATATTAACTAATAAAAGAAATGCATCACCTTCTAAGTATAATTTTAATTATTTCCCCTTAAATCATACAGTCTGAATCAGGAAATCATTTATACATGTGGCTCAACATAATTTCAAAATCATTTATACATGTGGCTCAACATAATTTCAAAAACTCATCCTCAATTTACAAATTCCTTAACCCATGGGTAAGCACTTGAAGACTACTTACATTCTTAGAATTTGGGCAAGGCACGAGTGATAAAAATATACAGATTCTTTGGGAATTAGGCTACATATCAGGCTGAAACTGCAGTTTCTAACACATAAGCAAATTCATAAATGTTATGTGTTACTTACATCTGTAACATTGTGGCAAGAAGTGCAATAATATTTGCCTTCATCAGTAAGACCCCAAGAGACAGCAGCACACTGAGTACAGCGCTCCTTAAACTCCTTCTATAGAAGATAGAGAAGGTGTTACCATCAAACCACATTCAATACATTGTACCTATACCTTGCAGTTCTGCTTAGTTCTCCTTAGAGGGTTCCTGGCAATTTTACCCTATAAATAAAAAATCACAGGCTGGGCGCGGTGGCTCATGTCTGTAATCCTAGCTCTCTGGGGGGCCGAGGCGGGCGGATTGTTTGAGCTCAGGAGTTCGAGACCAGCCTGAGCAAGAGCGAGACCCCGTCTCTACTAAAAATAGAAAGAAATTAATTGGACAACTAAAAATATATAGAAAAAATTAGCCGGGCATGGTGGCGCATGCCTGTAGTCCCAGCTACTCGGGAGGCTGAGGCAGAAGGATCGCTTGAGCCCAGGAGTTTGAGGTTGCTGTGAGCTAGGATGATGCCACGGCACTCTAGCCCCGGCAACAGAGTGAGACTCTGTCTCAAAAAAAAAAAAAAAAAAAAACAAAACAAAACAAAACAAAAATCACAGGCTGGGCGCGGTGGCTCATGCCTGTAATCCTAGCTCTCTGGGAGGCCTAGGAGGGCAGATTGTTTGAGCTCAGGAGTTCGAGGCCAGCCTGAGCAAGAGCGAGACCCCGTCTCTACTAAAATTAGAGAGAAATTAGTTGGACAACTAAAAATATACACAAAAAATTAGCCGGACATGGTGGCGCATGCCTGTGGTCCCAGCTACTCGGCAGGCTGAGGCAGGAGGATGGCTTGAGCCCAGGAGTTTGAGGTTGCTGTGAGCTAGGATGACGCCACGGCACTCTAGCCCGGGCAAGACAGTGAGACTCTGTCTCAAAAAAAAAAAAAAAATCACAGACAACAGAAAATATATCGGAGAGATTATCTGCAAACAAGGAGAAGAGCAGTTCAGTCTCTTGAGCAGTATGAAACTGAATTAAATTATTAGAGAAAATATACTAAAATACACAGCGTGTGAGGGAAAAAAAAAGGAAAAATGGTAGTAGGGGTAAAATGGAAACAGATGAGTAAACATCCTTGAAAATGCTGTGAGAAAAAAAGATGATAAAATTTAAGTATAGAGAAGACCAAAAACAACAAAAAAAAGAAATATCATTTGGAACTCCTCCAGAACACTAACACATACTTGCCATAAAGGAACCAGAGTTTTTTTTTAACCAGGTTTGTTTCAAGTTTCAATTTATTCATTCTGCAATCTAATGAGTATCAATTATGCGTGTACTAGGCATTTTACCAGGTCTGGGGATTCAATGGTGAGCAAACAGACCAGGCACATACTGGCTAATGGTGAGCTGTAATTATTAATTTCATCAACCTAGCATTTACGGAAGTTAACTTTTCAGCATTCAATAAACATTTCTGAGCATCTACTATAAAACCTCTTATCACCATATTGCTTCTGCCCATACACAGACCTAATTCTCTGATTCACAACTCTTCGGTGTTTGACTTATCAGCCTTGATATAATTACCGAATACCATCTAATACCATCAAAGAGTGTGGCATTTTATGTAGTATTTCAAAAATGCATGCCAAATTTATTTTGACAACTTGGTAAAGTCTTCAATGACCTCATACTAAAGCTATGATAGTAGGACACCTTGGGGTGTCCCCAAACCTGAATTTGGAATCCCTGCAAGAGACAGTGGCTAGGATTCCCATAGAGACCGACAGAGATTACCTGGGGGCATTCAGGTTCCAACCCCTGCCCCTCCCTCACCCACCCCAGCATCAAAGGGAACTTGTGGGTGGTCCCGTCGAGAAAGGATGAGCCATGTGGGTGGCCACCCCACAAAACCCATAACTTCATCCTCCTCCTTAAACACACCCATAAGGACAAACACTCCACCCTCCCTCACCCACAACCTCGCCGAGCCAGAAACTCCAGTCTCTTTCCCAAAACCGCTCGCACACGCGGCCCGCCAGCCCCATCCCTCGCCTCGCCACCCTCCACCCCGCCCTCCTCTAGCCAGCGGCCGCCCCCAGCTCGTCGGCGTCCTCGCCCCTCTTCAGGTTCACTGCCCTCTGGCCCCGGTAGTTGGGGCCCGCCTAGCACACCGCCTCCTTACCGCCTCCTCTAGGTCCATCACAGCGCCGCGGGAGCGGTTGTAGCGCGGACCCGTTACCCAGGCAGCCAGCGCAGCTTCCGGGAGCGACGGAAGAAGCCCTCGGGCCGGAATCCCGAGACCCTGACTTTGGGTTCCGGACGGTGCGGCCGCAGGAAAACCTCCGCGCGCTCCAGGAGCGAAGCTCTGCAAATCTTGCATCCCCCCTCCCAGGTAGTCTTCCTTTCTTAGTCTTGGTAACTAAAACCAGCCAATAAGCAGTCTGGCAACACCTACTCCCAAGTTATTCAATCATGCTATGTTCCGAAGGTCGATTGTTCCCGCTGCAAGGGGGGGCAGTTCCGGGCCATGTTCTCCAGCGTGGTCTCTCACCCCTCTGGTTTCTCCATCCATTACTGGCTTTTTTAAGGAGAGGCATGGGGGTTTGGAGGAAAGAACATAGGTGGTTGAGTTAGACCTAGATTTCTAATCACGGCTATCCTGCTTGCTTTTGCCTCAGTTTACTCTCTTGTAAGAATTAGACATTACCTGTGAGTCCCCTATACCTGGGAGTAGTGTTACCAGCGCAGGCCGTTGGCCTCCCTATTGTTAAGGGCCGTAGGCTTCAAAACTACTAACTGTTATAACTTTTTGTAATGACCATGTAATGCTAAAAGCTGAAATTTTAAAACTGTCAAAACTTTGTCTGCAATGCTTATGTAACAAAACCCCCCAAAGCTGTGGAAAGTCCCCAACATCCCCATGTTCTGCCTTTAAAAGGCCGGCTGCATTCAGCCAGTTTGCTGCTCTTTGGACTGCCGAATTTAGGCGGTGTAAGGAGCAGTCGCTGGCCAGCTAATAAAGACTCCTAATTTGGCTTAATTCGGTCTTCAGGTGGTCATTTCTTGCTTCTCGAACCATAACACTATGTAATAAAAATTAACATGAGGCCAAAAGGGAGTCACAGGCAAGGCTTTATTCGAGCTCATTTTTGAACATGCTGGAGGCAACACAAAGGAAAAAGTCCTCAGGCTAGCTCCCGGGGAGTTCTGGGAGAGTTTTAAAGAGGCTTAGGCAAGAAAAGGGTGACCTATAAGTACGTAGAGATGAAGATGTTCTTGCACCTGACTAGTCCTATTACAGGCTTCTTCATGCTTGCATCTCATTACATGTTAAAGCTCCACCCCTTGCTGTGATCTTTACCAGTGAAATGAGGTTATAAAGAAGGAAAAATCAGGGTAGGGTCCGTGTGGTGGTCTTTTCTGGCTTGAGGTGGTTGGATCCGGATAGGTCTGGTTCTTTTGCAGCAGGGTGCCTTATGGTCTGTCAGTATCTTGCTCCGGTGGCCCTGAAAAACATTACTCATAGGTTATGCTGACCGTGTTGTCTCTCTTGGTCAGAAGTGAGGCCCGAGTCCTGTCCCTATACTGTTTCAGTGTAGTGCTCAATAAATTATCTTTTATTGTTCCTTCATTGAATACATTAATTCCCTATTTCATTCATTAAACAGGAACTGGCTTGGGTCCTAGGGATTCAGCAGTGAAGAAAGTAGACAAAAATCCCTACCTTCATGGAGATTGTATCTTGATGGAGAAAGACAAAAATAGATAAGGAATCTATATGGTATGTTAAATGGTGATGAATGCCAGGGAGAAAAAAAAAAAAAACAGGAAAGGAGAATGGGAAAAAAAGGTGGTTTCAATGTGAAATGGGGTGGCCAAGAAAGATCTCATTGACAAGAGGATCTTTGATACAGTCATTCATCTCAAGAAGAAAGACGGTTATTTTGTAGTTCATAAGTGTGATGTTTGAGTTTCCATACTCATGTGTGAGATGTGCCTCCCTCAAACCTTGTTACAACATGGGTACATTACCAGTCTCATGTGGGGAAAAAAGAAAAGAAAAGAAAATGAAGATTAAACTGAAAAATAGTGGAAAGAAGGAAATGAAAAAGATTGGAGAAATTAATAAAAGATAAAGCAAGCTTCAATAGAGAATCTCCACAAACTAATATCAGCTCTTTGAGAAGACTAATAAATTCAGTAAACCCTGGAAAGATTGATCAAAAGGGAAAGAAGAAAAGCAAAATTAACCAATATCAGGACAATGAAAGTGGCATTACTACAAATACCATAGACATTAAAAAAGATCATAAGAGGATATGAATAACTCTAGACCAATAAATGTGAAAATGGAGAAGAAAAGGAGAAATTCCTAGAAAAATACAAGTTATCAAAAGATCACGCAAGAAGAAACAAAATCCAGACAATCTTGTGTCTGTTTAAGAAATTTACTCCATAAGTAAAGTAAAATAAGTAAAATATCTCACAAAGAAAACCTCAATCTCAAATGGCATAGCTGGTAAATTCTACCAAACTTTTAAGAAAGAAATAATCTCTTCCAGATAATGGAAAAAGAGCACTTACCAACACATCTTATGAAGCAGACATAACTTTGACACCCAAACCTGACAAGGATATTTCAAGAATACTCAAAATTAAAGAGCACTGTCTCTCAGAAACATTGGTGCCAAAGTTTCAAACAAAATATCACCAAATTGAATTTACATCCTTTATTGTATTTGGCAATATATAAAATAGGATAATAAATCACAGCCAAGTTGGGTTTATTCTAGAAATAGAAGGTTAGTTTAACAACAACAACAACAAAAATCAAACAATAATCTAGATAGTATGATGCAAGGATAGACAGAAAAAAAAATCAAAACTGAATAGAAAGTCCAGAAACTGACTTATAAATACATATAAGATAACTTGATTTACAACACATCTTATGAGGCAGGCATAACCTTGCAAGGGTGCTGCTAAAATTCAGTAGGGAAAGAGTAGTTTTTCAATAAATGGCTCTGGATCAATTGGACATCCATATAAAAAATTATCGACCCCTTTTTCACACCACACAAAAAATTAATTCAAATGGATCATAGACCTACATGTCATAGGTAAAACCATAAAGCTTCTAGAAAAAGAAAACATAGGTAAATATCTTTATTACTTGGGGGTAGAATAGACTTCATAAATAGGGCACAAAAATCACTACCCATGATAGAAAAGATCATTAAATCAGATTTCATTAAAATGAAGAACTTCAGTTCATCAAAGACAGGGTTAAAGCAAACTAAAGACTGAGAGAAAATATCACAATACATATATTCAATGAGAGATTTATATAACAAAGATTTCCTACAAACCAATTAAAAACAGTAATAAACAATCCAATTAAAAATAGAGAAAATCCAGGATCCTCATCCTTCTCAGGAAAAAAAAAAAGGCAAAAGACTTGAGCAGGTATTTCACAAAAGATAATAGCTAAATCATCAATAAATATATGAAAAGATGCTCAACGTCAATACTCATTAGAAAAATGCAAATTGAACCCACAACGAGATGCCACTACACACCTACCAGAATGGCTACAATTAAAAAGACTGAAAATACCAAGATTTGTCAAGAGTATGGATAAACTTGTTCTCTTCTACATTGCTGATGGGTATGTAAATTGGAAGAAGCATTTTGGAAAATTGTTTGGAAGGAGAGCTAAATATATGCTAATTATGACCCAGCAATTCCACTCCTAGATCTATTCCCAGGAGAAAAGAGTATGTATGTTCACCAATAAACATGTATAATTATTTTCATAAAATCTTTATAATAGCAAAAAAAATGACAAGCAACCAAATGTCCACATCAGCAGGAGAGTGGATAGACAATTGTATAGTCATACAATGGAATACAATAATGAAAAAGAATGAATAACTGTTATGTACAATAACAACATGGATGAAACTCACAAACAATGATGTGCAAAAGAAGCCTGCAGTGGATCAAAAGTGGATTCAAATTCTCTGCCACTCCTCCCATTGAGAGATGAGGTACATTTCTTCCAACCCTTGAATCTGGACTGGCCTTGTGACCGGCTTTGACCAGTTCAATGTTCTTTTGATGATGTTGTGCAACTTCCAAAGCAATGTCTTTGCAGCTTCTGCTTTTGCTCTTCTTAGAATGTTCCTTCCCAATTGCTAGTAGTCATGACAGGAAGTCCAACTCCCTTGAGACAACCATGTTGTGAGGAAGCCCAGGCTAGCCCATGTGTAACTGAGAAGTACTATAGAGAAAGACTGGGATATCAGACGTGTGAGTGAAGCCTTTTTGGACCTCCTAACCTAGCCCAGTCACTTTATGCAGCCTAGTGAATGATCCCAGCTGATGCTAGGGGGAACAGAAGAACTATGAGGAACAAAATGGTTATTGTTTTAAACCACTAAGTTTCCAGGTAGTTTGTTACACAGTAATAGCTAAGCTACAGAAATTGGTCCATAAAGTAGAGTGGTATTTTAACAAAAACCTAAAACATGTGCCCAGATCTAACTCTATCCTGACATCTCCTCCTCTAAATAATAATATAGCAGGAAAAAAAATTATGTATGTAATCCCGTTATATGGATGTATGTTTTTGTATAAATTATACACAGGGACTGTCCTAGTGATGTATATTATAGGACACACATAAATATTTAAATGACAAGAAAAATAAAATTTTAAATAATATATTTTATCAACATAATGAAATTTTCCTTCACTGAAAATATTAGAGTTATTTTCATTATTTTTTAAAATCTTGGCTTACTACTACTACATAATACAGTGATTTGTAGTTCTGATCCCAAGTTCAATTTATTTTAATACTGTTTACTGGCAGTCATAACAGAAAAGATACTTTACAAAGATACATAGAACCAAGTGTTTTCATTACAGGAAACATTTGCAAACATTGATTCTCAGAATGTTCTCTCCATAGCATAAGTTTCCTCCAAAAAAGTAGTTACTTTGTCATGCATTAAACAAATGAGTGCCTAGCATGTACACTGTTTTGGGCAAAGGGAATAAAGCAATGAACAACAACAAATTTCCACCTCATGAAGCTGACACTCTAGCTGGGGGAGACACATAATAAATATATAAATAAATAACTATAAAATAGGTGGAAAAAACTACCATGAAGAAAAATAAATATGAAGATAGTGAATG